GCTACTGTGAACTGTTCACTCACTTTCAGTGTAGTATATAAAACTTGTGTTTCTCCAAAAATACTCTGCCAGCCACATCATCCTGGAACATTCATAGGTCTACTTCTGCTGGTCTTAGAACTGAAAAGGGCTGGTCACCAGACTTCTGCTGAGGCACCTGCAATAGGAAGGAGCCCGTCTTTAGAGTTCCACATACCTGGACTGGAACCACAATTCTGCCAGGTACTGGCTGTGTGGCCTTAGGCAAGTACCCTAACCTCTCTGAGCCTCAGTTTTCTCATATGTAAAGTGCAGATGATGTCCTCTTCACAAGTGTGAGCTGAATGAAATCACATCTACTCCAGCAGAACATGTGAGCAGGAATGTGTCTACAGCTGGGCTTGGGGCAGAGCAGGTGGGCGGGAGGTGCCAGTTCACATAGAGAATCCTAGCCCACAGTCATTCCTATCCTCCTCCTTTCTTCGTGAAGGAAACCTGATTCCTTCAGCCCTCAGCTGACCTTGTGTTGTAGAGGAAGTAAGGCCCTTCCCAGCCCCTGGATCTGAGACCAGTATCAACTGGTATAAACGAGTCCTGGTCATTCATTCCCTTTGCTAGTAATTAGAGTAGGAATGGGCCAGTGACTGGGGAAGTCAGTTGGACTCGGGCCCTTCTGAGAAAGTTTTCCTAGACACAGATGAGCAACAGTCTCTTTTCTGTCTTTTTGCATCAGTGCATAAGGCTGTGATGCTTGGAGCAGTGGCAGCCCTCTTGAGGCCAGGAGGGAATAAACCAAAGTCAATACACCGGGTCCTTGAAGATATAAAGATGTTGATCAGCTGCTGAATTAACCAGCCCTGGAGGCACCCTTTCCCCAGATTCCTTGTTACTGTGGCAGGCAGTGTTAACTGTCCTCTAGTGTCCATTCTTCTTGTCACCCACTTAGTACTAGAATGTACTGAGTTCTAGCTGGATATGTGGGACCCCACATGCACACTATACTTCCCAACATCCTTGGCTGCTGGGTGTGGCCATGTGACTAAGTCCAGGCCAATGGGATGTGAGCATAAGTGAGACATGCAACTTCAGGGCTTATCTTCCTAAAGACATTTGCCTGAACCTCCCCCCCGCCACACACTTCCTATCACCTGGAAAATGCAGCAGCTGGAGCCCTGCTTGGGGATGCTTGTCCCTGGGGATGGCAGAATGGTCTCGTGGGTCTGAGCGCAGCTTGGGGCTGTGATATGAGAGAGAAACAATCTTCTACCTCATTTAAGTGGCTGTACTTTGAAGTCTTTCCTTAGACCAGCTTCCCCAGTGCCTTAGCTGGTACCTCAGCAGGATAATCATGCCCCCAAGGTTTCAGCCACCGGAGTTGTTTCTAGAAGCTGGAGGCCTTCTCTCTGATCCTCTCTCCCTGCAAGTCGGTGTGTCCCAATGTTTCTTGGTGGTGCACTGTGGCTGTGAGGAATGTCTTCCTGTTTGGGGAGGTGCAGTCTTGCCCCCAACTCGGTTCCTTCCTGCGGCTGTCCCTGCCCAGGGAGTGGATGTCCCCCTCCCCCGCCAAAGCCCAGATCAAACCTGAGTCGTCCTCTAGTTGTCAGGTCCTGACCTCCAACCTCACAGCGGAATTCCCAGCATGCCTTGCACTTTCTGGCCCACGTTAGGACAAGCAGAGATTTTAGGCACAGATGGACTGTGAAATCCAACTTTCAGGAACACAGCCCTAAGTTACTCAGTCATCTTGGGTTTCTGTGGGCACTCAGATGGAGAACGTTCAATTTAATATTTAAACAAGAAGTTGAATATTGATGTGGCAGCAAGCGGAATTGTCCTCTTACCCCAGAGCCTGTGCTGGGCCAGCCAGGGAAAGCTCATTAAATAACCGACCACACGCTGGCCTGGACCCCCTGCCCGGCCCCTCACTGCCCCCCAGTAGAGGGCTGGGTCCTCCTCTTCTTCCCCAACTCCAGGACAAAAACACATGTCAGCACACGGCCACCAACCTCAGGGTTCCTAGGATCTGATTACCCGCCCCAGGGCAGGCTTCCATGCAGTCTGCTACGCCCTTTACCTTTTCCAGAACTGTTCCACAGCCAAGGGGGGGCAGCCCGAGGCCACCAGGAGCAGGACACTGAGTTCAGGATGGGACAGAAGGAAGAGCAGGGTCTCTCTGGAATGAGAGGCCAGCAGAGGGGCCCGGAGGAGGGCTCAGGGCTCTGTCTGTGGGTGCACGGGGAGGGGAAGAGGAGCTCATTCAGCTCCCCCAGCCAGCCTTCTTTCTGCTCTAAGCTCAGCCCTCTGGATAGCCAAGGCCTGGGTTCAAATCCCATATTGCCTCCCACTTGCTGGGCCACGGTTTCCCTGAGCAGAAAGCGGAGGTGTGTTATTGGAACAATGTGCTCCGCGCCAGGCGCCGGCTTGTTCACTATGACGTCACGACCAGACTGGGAGGTAGGTACCACCCATCCCCTTTACAAGAGACAGCAAGCAGAGCTGTGGCTGGGGCGTGGAGGCCAGGAGGCAGAGAAAGGGGGTCCTCCGGCTCCCCCTCCCAGCTCGGGGCATTATGAGATTGCTTCAAGCTGAGGAGGGTAAGCACACAGCACCGGTATGGGTGGAGGCAGGGGTCCTCGAGGCAGCTCGGTCAGGTCACCTGCCTGCGTCAGGGCGCAGACCCAATCAGCTTCCCTCCTGTTACCCTGGCCCCGCCCACACGCATCCTCCAGAATGCCGCAGTAGTTTCCGACCGGCTGGAACCCCGCTGGTTTACAGCTGCAGCATTAAGAAGTTGCCCCAGCAAAGTCCAGCCCCCTCCCTACCCGCCCCCACTTCCAAGCTGGTCGTTGGAGCGTCTCTATGCACCCCCCCCCCCGCCCACTTTCTCAGAGCCAGGAACATCTGAGAGTTCTCCCGTTCTTGGTCCTGCCTGGCATGATGCGAGGAGGCTGGGGCCAAGGCAGCCTCCTGGGCCGCGTTTCCAGCACAGGGTTCTCTGCGGAGGCCTGTTAACATTCTGGAAGCCTGCACTCTTGCCGGCTGGCTGCAGCTGCTCCAGCCTCCGGGTTGGGTGCCGGGGAATCGGAGGGCCCTCGAGGGCCCTCGGCTCTACACAGACTGACAGGAACTTCTTGAGGCCCTCACAAAGCTACATGGGTGTCCCCTACTGGGATCCCGAGCCTGACATGGCTCTGCTCTTCAAGATGATGTTTGGGGGGACGGGCCAAGAACCCAATGGTCACAGAGGATGCGTGGGGGCTGTGAGGCTGGAGGCAGGGCAATCAGGGAAGGCTTCCTGGAGGGTACGTGGGCCTTATGGGAAGGAACAAGGGCTTGCTGGTGAAGATGGTTGGTAAGGGCACTGAGAGTATCAACATGTGGACATTAGGGTGGGGAAGGGAGTCAAGAATATACAGTTTAGGCCCTGGCTGGTGTGGCTCCATGGATTGAGTACAGGCCTGTGAAACCAAAGTACCGGGTTCAATTCAGTCAGGGCATGTGCCTGGGTTGCCGGCCAGGTCCCCAGCAGGGGGCGTGCGAGAGGCAACCGATGGATCAATGTGTCTCACACATCGGTGTTTCTCTCCCTCCCTAAAAAATACATTAAACACACACACACTGTTTAGTGTGGATGGAGGGCAAAGCTCAAGGCTGGAGAGGGAGGTGTGGCTGGATCCCTGAGGGCCTTGAATGCTGGACCCAGGAGATAGGCTTTGTACCCTAGCAATAAGGAGCCACAGAAGAGTTTAGGGTGAGGGAGTGACACACGTCTGTCTCATCTTTATATGGTGACACATAGTCGACACTCACTATGACAGCCAAATGACTAAACCATGCTTGACTCAAAAGGTCATCTCACTTGTTTAAGTATATATACACAGTTATCTATTTACTTGTACATTAAAAGTAAAATCTGCTTATTCTAAAAAAAATCAAGACAGGTGAAATGATGTTATGGAGAGACAAATGACAAATAATCCACTGTTTAAAAAACATCACGTGCTCTTGAATACCCCTGAAGCCAGGGAGCTCACTACCTTACCAGGTTGCCCATGACCGTCTGCAGGCAGAATCCAGAGGCCCCTGAACACCTCCCCCTCTGCTGACAAAGAGCAGCACGCAGAGCCCCAGAGTTCCTGGCAGGACCCCCAGTCCTAGAGGGGAGGCCTTCTGCTGGAACGCCTAACTCTGAGGCGGCTTCCTCACTCAGCCCCAACCAGCTGGGCCTCGTCCTTCCAAGCACTGACCTTCCTCTGGCCCAGACCTTTGGATCTAGGTTGGATCTCAGGCAAGTCACCTCCAGCAGGCCAGTGCTTCCCACCTGCAGAATGGCGCTGAGATGGGTGTGAGCGAGTGTGTTTTATGGACACGAAGCACTAGATGCCCACGATATACTGTTATGTTCGTTATTTTCCTGTTTATTAACAACAGGGTGGGAGTGTTTCCTTTAAAATGCTTTTCCCAAGCCAAAAATACTCCACACCCCTATGCCCCTGGAGAGGGCGGCTGTCACCCTTGCGACATCTGTGGAAAGAAGGAGGGGGAGGGCACATGGGGCCTCCCCCCAGAGGCTCCCCAGGCCAGCCATGCCAGCCTCAGCCTGAGAACAACTGAAACCAGGAGAGAGCCAGGCCCTGCCCTGGGCTCTCCAAGCCGAGTTAGCCCACTGCTCACCCACAGTGGCCTCTACGCCCCTCATCTGGGGATCTGCCTCCTCCCCCTTGCCTTGGGCTCATCCAAGTCTGCTCCCACCATGGCCACTTGGGGCCCAACACCTGGCTTCCCTCGGATGCCTGTAGGACGCCTTGATGTTCACAGCTTCCACGTGTTGTCCAGCAGACCCAGGGTGCTCTCCACCCACCCCCTTCCCGGCTCACTCCAGCTGATTCTGGCTGGGGCCCTTCACCTCTGCTGGCTGCCCCTACCGTGAGATAGCACACTGGCTGCCGGGGGGCCCACCAGCCTCGCCCTGGGTCCAAGGGAGCAGAGCCCTCCAATAACACCTCTCAGACCATCTGTTCCCTGTCCCCCACCCCTCGCCTCGCCTCCCCAGGAAAGGTGGCTGGGCAGCCCTCCCCTCCCCGTGCTGGGTGCAGGCAGGCCCCTTACAAGTACATCTTCATGGCCTTGTGTGTCGTGGGGCAGTAGCGGGCGTGGAGCTGGGCCAGCAGCGCCCTGGATGTGGCCTCAAAGCGCGTGCCCTGGCTCTTCTTGTTCCACACGTGCACGGCGTAGGTGCCCCTGAGCAGCCGGGGAAGCTCCTCGGGGCTGATGTCCTCGAAGTACTTCTTCCAGTTCTGCCAGGGGATGGGGTAGAAGGCCTCAGAGGGCAGGGCCGTGACGCCGCGGCAGGCGTGGCTCTCGCCCAGGCTGCGGATGGAGCACCACTTCTTGAAGACACGCGTGAGCAGCTGTGGGCCCTGGTGGCCCCAGATCCAGCTGTTGTAGTGGGCCACGAAGTCACGCATGCACAGCGCCAGGAACTCGTGGTGGCGCTCAAAGGCCAGGAAGGCGCCGTTGAGGACGTAGCGGGACTGAGTGCCCAGCATGTTGGTCAGGTTCCTCAGGTTCCTGAGGACGATGAAGTCCGTGTCCAGGTAGATGCCCCCGAACTTCCACAGGAGCGCCAGCCGGGAGGCGTCGGAGAGTACGGGCAGCAGGTAGGGCTCCCACCGCTGCTGCGTGGCCGCGTACCAGGCCGCCAGAGGTGTGCCCCGGAACAGCTCCTTGAGGTCCAGCGGGAGCACCTGCACGTTGGGGAAGCAGCTCAGAAGCGAGAAGCCCAGGTGCCGGGGCAGGGAGGCGTTGCCGCCGGGCAGCCCCTTCATCAGGACCGCCACCCGGGACTCTGGGTGGGCCCTGGCAGCCGACTCCACCGAGCACATGAACAGGAAGTTGGGGTTGGTCCGGTCTGAGGTCTCCAGGAAGAAGATGCTGCCTGGAGGTGGGGCGCTGGGGTGCCGTGTGGGGGGCCCCAGGTGGGGGCAGGGGACGTCAACAGGCAGGTTAGAGAATTGTCCTTGGCTCCTGGGCTCCCCTGCCATGTGCCAGTAGATCATGATGGAGACCAAAAACATGAACTTGAAGCCGATGATGAACAGGGTACAGCCCCGCTGGCTTGGGGTGCTCCGGAGCGGCCACAGCAGACAGTCTGGGGACCTGGACATGGTCTCCCCCGATAACAGCAGGAGCCTCTGACAGGAACTGGCTGGTCTGCAAGAGACGAACACCACACTTGGGCGGGCTGCAGCCACCCCTGGCCCAAGGAAACACTTCCCACAAACCGAGGCCCCGGCCAACACCAGCGTCTGGAGCCCATGAACCTGCCAACTGCTCCAAGCCCCATCTCCCTCCTCACCTGGAAAATGGGAGCAGTGGACCCTGGCCTCAGCTCCCAAGGACTGGGCCAGTGCCACCTAGAACCTGTGGCCATCAGGGACCCAGGGCAGGGTCTGGCACGTGCAGGGGTTATCGGAGGTAATGCCTTTGCCACGGGCATACCGGCCTGACTGCTTGGCCAAGCGTGTCCCCCTCAGCAGGGCAGGCTGGCGGCCTGCAATGGCGGGCCCAGCACAGGTGGCCCTCAGTTCCACAGGCGAGGCCTTGGGCTGGTCCAGGAGGGCAGACTGCCGAGCAGTCTCGGGTACTTGGCGCAGGAGCCCCAGGGCTCCGGCTGGCCTGGGCGCTGGCATGTGGGGATGCTCGCCAGGGCCGGCCCGAAGCCCTGGGCTCAGACACGCCGGGGCCTCCTGGGCCCCTGGCTTCTCCAGCCCCTGCCCTGGGCTGTGCTTCTCCCAGACACGGGTCTGGAGGGGAAACAGACAGGGAAGTTGGGCTGCCGTCCGTGACCTTTGCTAGCACTGCCGCCCTTGGAGCCTCGCTCTCTCCTGGTGGTGCCCACTTGGCCAGCAGCCAGAAACCTTTCTGGGTGCCCTGCAGGTGGCTGGGAGGACGAGATAGGCTTGGGCTCCACCCCGAGGAGGGGGCTGTGTGAATGCCTGGGATGCAGGTGGCCTCAGGTCTGCCGGAAGCAGCTGCGAGGCCTGCGGCAGGGCCTTTGGCTCCCTGAGCCTCCACCTTCCCACCTGCAAGACAGGACCTCTCGGACCCACTGGGTGTAGGTATTCGCTCACACACTGAACACACACAGTCCACTGTGCCCAAGCCAGGCGACTTTGTAGGCACCAACACACGTGACCTCGTTAAACCCTTATGCTCCCCTGTGGGGTGGCAATCATCACCCCCATTTTACAAGTGAGGAAACTGAGGCACAGCAGTCTGATAACTCACACAGTCCCACAACCAGCAAGTGGCAGGGCATGGGTTTGAACCTAGGCCACCTGGGTCCAGAGTCTGTGTTCTCACCACTGCACCATCCTGCCTGGGGAGAGAGAGAGTGCAGCCAATGTGTCCACATGCCTGGCCCTTGGGGGAGTCAGCACACGCTGGCCTGGACTCTGCCCATTCCCAGCAGAATCCCAGCCACTGTGTGTTCTGTGCCTTCTAAGTGCACGGTGCCAAATGGCTCTGGGTAACCCCAGGGGGAAGTTACACCACTTCTACCTTAGAGGACACTTGGGCAGAAGGGGGTGGAGGGACTGGACCCAGTCTGGGGGCCGTGGGGGAGCGGGAACAACCACTCAGCAGGACAGATGGGGCTCATGGCTGCGGACTGGTGCCCGGAGCCTAGGACTTGAGCGACTGGGCCCAGCCCTGCCCCGGGGCCAAGGGCAGGGACCTGGGACGATGTCGAGGGCTGGAACTGACCAGCCTGGGCGCCCCATGGCGATGCGGTGGGGATCCAGGCAGCCTCCTGGAGACACGCCCTGGCTCAGCAGGCAGCCTCCTCCGCCAACGGGAACACGGCCCGTCCACACGCTCTCCGAGCCTGCAAATCCATCTGCAAAAGATGGTGAGAGACACAGTGAGGTGGGCCACAGGCTCTCCGAGGGCTGGGGCTCCTTCCGTCACAGCTCGTGCCCTCTCTCGGCCCCACAGGGCGAGGCACGAGTTAGGTACAGTCCTGCCCTGGGAGCCAGTGGGGACACCGTTTGAAAAGAGACAAGGATAATACATATGGTGATGGCTGAAATGGAACAAACTGGCCAGCAGAGTCTGGAGAAAGTGTCACCTTCCCGGGAAGGTGACACTTGATGAGAAAGGAACTGACCAGACAGACCTCCTCAAGCGCCATTGGGGCCGGCACACCTGCTCTCCCGGTGCCTGGCTCTATGCTCAGCACGCAGTAGTCACACAGGAAGCCGACTCTGGTCGTTCATTCGCTCACTCACCGACTCACCCACTCGGCGGCCAGACGGCCCGAGGTCACAGGGCAGGCCGGCCGCTCTTCTGCTCGGGCTGAGTGACACGGGACACCCACCAGGCCCTGTGTGTCCCCTGATCCCTGACCCGAGGCCCCACTTCTCTCCCCATCACCTGCTGCGCCCCACCCACGCCTGGCCTCCTTGCTCTTTCTCAGACCCATCCCCCCGTGCAGCCGTCGTAGGGCCTTCGCACCTGCTGTTCCTTCTGCTTGGAACACTGTTCCCTTTGCTTGTTCCCTCACCTTCCTCTAGCTGTCACTTAGAGAATCATCCTTCCAGAACAACTATAAAGGACACATGGAAAAAACCGAGGGCAGGGTGGAGGCAAGGGTGGGAAGTGGGTTGGGCCGGGGTTGGGGGGGAAGGGAGAGGGGAGAATGTAATCAACTAATGGAACGACAATAAAATAACTAAAAAAAAATCACCCTGCCGTGGAGCCCTCCCTCCTGCCCCTGAAGTTTCAACTCCCCCATCGCTTCCTAGCTTTCTGCTTTAGTCTGTTCTGCCCACACTTACTCCAACGCACTGTACAGTTTTGTACTTATTTGGGCTAGTTATTTACTTGGAACATAACCCCACGGGGACCAGTACACTTTGGCGTCTTCTGTGTTCTGTTCGGCATCTAGAGCGGTGCTGGCCCTCGGGACGTGGTCCGTGAACCCTGAGTGACTCTGTGCAGGTGAGGAGCGGGTGCGTGGATGCAGCCTGAGTCGGGGGGTCGGGGAACCGACGGAGGACCAGTGAGTTAATGAGTGAGTCAGAGAGTCAGCAGATCAGTGAGTGACCAAACGGGCCAGTGAGAACGAGTGGGGGAACTGGGGCAGCTGCCTGGGTCCAAACACGAGCGCCCTGCTGTCAATCAAGAAGCCTGTTCCCGGCCCCGGTTTTCCCCTGCAGGGAGAGAGGCTATTCTGGTCCCAAGGATTCTTAACCCAGTGTGAACCACACTGAGGAGTGGACGGACGGACAGATAGACAGTTGGATGGGGCAAAGCCCTGGCTGCTTGGGGGCCCGGTGGCGCTGGGGTGACCCAGCTCTGCCACCGTGTAGAGTGGGGTCTGGGCCTGTTGGGAAGGCAGGAAGTGCCCTTTGAGCCACGCCTGCCATGGATGAAGGTGCCAGACGCGAGCAGCACTGTATTTGGTGCCGGAGTCCAAGCCCCAGGAATAGAAGCTGTGTATGGGCCAAGCTGGCCACGGCCCAATACCCGTGTGACCTCAGGCCCAAAGCATGCTCCTGGCCCCCTGGATGGGCCTCCCAGCTGGGGCCCAAGTCCTGGCCCATGTCAAACAAGCCTGGTACGTCGCTGCCACGGCCTCCTCCTGCCTCGCGGCCTGCCCCTTCCAGCCCCGCCCCAGGGAGGCGTCTCCAGCTGGCCAGTGTTAACTGTGGCAGTGTCCCTGCTGCGGCCTGGCCCCCGCATCACCTCTGCAGGCCCCACCGTGGGCACATCAGCACTGGGATCCAGGCCCAAGAGACTGGAAAAGGCCCCCTTGACCTGACTGACGCCTGTCACCTCTTCATGGCCCACACCCACCTGTGCCCCTGCAGTGGGACACTCCACCTCTGATCCTCTCTGGGCTCCCGTGTCCAGCCCAATGCCAGGGAGCAAGATCCAAACAGGATGGGTCACAGCGATGGTCAGATTCGGTCCCTACCGACCCCGCTGCCGACCGAGCGGCTCCCAGGACGCCAGAAAGGAGCCCTTGAAGATTCCTATGTTCACATGGGGACAGAGAGGCCCAGAGAAGGAAAGGGGCTCAGCCGAGGTCCCACAGCGGTGGAGGGTGGGACCTCTGGAAGCCCCTCCTGTCCGTTCTCGGGGAAGATGTGATGGACCAGGGCTCACAGCCGGAGGCAGGCTGCCCCTTGACCCAGGCCGGCTCCGAGGGCCAGAGAGGAGTGGATCCCTGGCTGGTGTGGCTCGGTTGGGGGTCATCCCAGTAAGCACAAGATCACGGGTTCGATTCCCAGTCAGGGCACACACCTGAGTTACAGATTCGGTCCCCATTCGGGGCACAGGCGAGGGGCAACCGATCGATGTTTCTCTCTCATATCAATGTTTCCTGACCCCCCCCCGCTCCCTCCCTTCCCCTCTCTCTAAAATAAAAACAATAAAGCATAAAAATTAGAATACATAATTTCAGCATGAATAAAAAAAAAAAACTTGAAAAGGCAATTTCAACCCAAAGACCTTCGGCTCTGTGAGAACCGGGGAGGACCTGGTCAGATGGAACCACGGTGGACAACGTGTGAGCACTGACTGAGGGCAGGAAAGGAGCAAAGGATTAAAATGTTTCAGAAGTGAAGACCAAACTACAAAAAAATATAAGAGCGAACGGACTCCATCCAGAGTGCAGTAAGAAATGATAGAGATTAGGACCAGGGAGAAGTGGGCGGGGAAGCGGGAAGGAGGTGGAAAGCGGAGGCGCTGGGCGGCAGCACGGCCAACCGATCACGTGGCCAACCGATCAGCACCTGGCCTCGTGCAGGCTGCCGGCGAGAAGGAAACCACCTCCCTGGTCGGCCGAATGACAGGAACTGTTACAAAGCCGCATCTCTGTGTACACCACTGAAGAATGCCCCCAACTAAACATCACATCGCTTTCTCTTTCTATAGAATGTTTGCAAGGATTGTTTAGTTAGACTTATACATCACCTATCACTTCTGCGCAGACCTAAGAAGTGAAAGGAACTGGGTAAGGTGTTCCTGAAATGTCGTCACCATTAAAAGCCCATCTTTCTGCTCCCGCCAGGTGGGTCCTGTGGTTGGAGCGACAACCTGAGCACCACAAGGTTTCCGACCCTGGTCGGTTAGTACAGGAGGAAACAGACTGATTCTTTCCTCTCGCCTTAATGTTTCTCTTTCTCTTTCAAGCAATAAAAACATACCCTCGGGTGCGGATCAAACGAACAAAAAGGCCCATTCTTCTGAACGACATCAATGCAGTGTCACTGGTGCCTCTGATTTCTTCCCACAGGCGCAGCCGCCGCAACCCGTCCACCACCAGCTGTGGGAGGTGCGGCGTTTCTTAAAAGAGGCCTCAGGCTGCCTCCCAACGTCTCTTCCAAGCTGCGGCCACCTCTTCTTCAGGGTTTCATGCCACCGCATAGGTAAGCAATGGCAGCGGTCAGGAACCCTGAAGGCATGGGTTCCTATTCTAAAATACCGTAGAATCACTGGATGCAGTATCAGCTAGAACTGGGTAGAGACAAGGGGGGGAGGAGGGAGGAAGAGGAAACAAGTTGAATTTATTGTCCACGAAAGAGAAACAATAGGGTACTAGGTAACTGGGAATATTATATAGAGATATAAACATCAGTGTAACCACTAGAACAAAAATACAAACTTTCTTCAATGTCAGAAGGGCTGCAGTATTTTTAAAAAGCGAAGAAGAGAACTGACCAGAGTGAAAGAATCAAGAATACAGCCTTTCCACCCGCACAGAGACACACGGGTGTCCACGCAGTAGGACAGAAAGGAGACCAGAGGCACTGGCCACGTGAATTAATAAATAGGGTCGGTCTCTGATCTTTTTAAAAAACGATTTAGTTTGGATCTCCAGCAATACCCAACTCCATCCTGCGTTCAAGCGACATAATTCCGACAAAGCAACTTGAAATGGTAAAAGTGACCGAATGAGCCAAGGCATAAAGACAGATACAAACAAAACCAGGGTGGGCCGTAATCTAATGTCGGACGAGACCTTCAGCCAGACATCACCAAATGAGCCGAAGAAGGGCCATTTAGCACACTCAACGGTGTGATTCACCAAGTACTACATTACAGTGCGGCAATTTTCCGGAAGAAGAAATCACAGGGATATTAGGGTGAATAGACTGAAACACACTAATAAGAGAATTTAATTCATCTTTCAGCCCAAGAAACATTAAGTGGACCAAACATAAATACAAATTCAGAAGACCTAGATAAAATATCAGTAAGGTACTACTACAATATATGAAACTTTCCACGCTAATAGTAGATAATATTCTTTTATTTTTTAAAAGATTGTATTTATTTATTTAGAGAGAGGGGAAGGGAGGGAGAAAGAGAGGGAGAGAAGCGTCAGTGTGTGGTTGCCTCTCGCGCCCCCCCCCCAACGGGGACCGGCCCGCAACCAGGCGTGTGCCCTGCGTGGGAACTGAACTGCCGACCTTGTGCTTCTCCAGATGACCCGCTCAGCACGCTGGGGCACGCGGGTCAGGGCTCTAGCAATAACGGAAACCCAAAGCTTTCTGGAACTGTATCGAACAGCAAAACATGAGCCAGAAAACCTCAAAAAACTTTTAAAGTAGAAGAGAAGTGAAAACCTGAAAAAGATTTCGGAATATACCCTACTGACCAATACCGCTTGGGAATATTACTGTGAAAATCCTGAATAAAACATACGCAAGTGGAATCCAGGAGCACATGAAAAGAATAAGATATCAAAACTAACCGGCTTGCCCTGGTCAATGGCTCAGTCGTGTGGAGAATCACCCCTGCACCAGAAGGTTACTTGTTTGATCCCTGCTCAGGGCATATACCCAGGGTGCAGGTTCGATCCCCAGTTGGGATGCATCTGGGAGGCAACCAATCAACATTTCTCTCTTACATTCTTGTTCCCCCCTCTCTCTCAACCTCCCTTCCCCTCTCTCTAAAATCAATAAACACACCCTGGCTGGTGTGGCTCAGTGGATTGAGCACCAGCCTGCGAACTAAAGGGTCGCAGGTCAGGTCCCCAGTTGACGGTATGTGAGAGGCAACCACACACTGATGCTTCTCTCCCTTTCCCCCTCCCTTACCCCCTCTGTAAAAATAAATAAATAAAATCTTTTTTAAAAAAATCAATAAACATATCCTCTAATGAGTATTAGGGGGAAAAACCCAAGTGGGCTTATTCCCAGAATGCAAGGATGGCTTGACATTAGAAAATTATTAATATAATTCATCATATTCATAGATCGAAGGAGGAAAATCACAGTCATCCCTGGAGATGCTAAAAAACATTTGACAGCGTTTCCAACGCTCATCCTGGATAAATCAGGAATCAACAGACACTTCCCTAACCAAGGGACAGACACCGTCACCAAACCCAGGAAACAGCCTTGCACTCAGCTTCCCAGGTGAGGACGCTTCTCTGCAGACCTGGGTGGGTGGGCAGGAGACAAAGGCACCCATCCTGCTCACCAGTGCTGGAGGTATTCATCAACACAACTTGAGAAGAGAAAGAAATTAGAGGCATAAAAAAAAATAGAAAAGCCCTGGCTGGTGTAGCTCAGTGGATTGAGCGCGGGCCTGCCAACCAGACAGTTGCGGTTCGATTCCCAGTCAGGGCACATGCCTGGGTTGCAGGCCAGTTCCCTGCAGGCCAGTTCCCAGCAGGGGATGCACAAAAGGCAACCATACATTGATGTTTCTCTCCGTCTCTCCTTCCCTTCCCCTCTAAAGATAAATAAATAAAATATTTAAAAAAAATAGAAATATTTAAAACTATTGGTATTTTCATAAATACTACTATAAACCAGGACAAGCCAAGAGAAACTACTGAAAAACTACAAGTAAAAGAATACTGGGATGTAGTAGACCGCTCTGCCTCGTTTTAGGAATTGTATCTCTACCCCTTGTGGCTAAGGACAAGAGCTCTGGAATGTGAGCCGCAGGAGACAAAGCTTGTCTCTGGAAGGCAGCTATGCTCACCACTATACCACCAACGCAAAGCTTGTCTCTGGTAGCAAACGCTGCCTCAGTTCCTCTCTCTGCCCCCAGAGCTTGGTCGGAAGTCAATGATGGGTAAGACCCCTCACAGTGGGGGGGGGGGGCAACCTAAGCCAGACTCGATCACCTGGGAGGCCTTCATGGAAGGATTCAGGGGGCTGCAACAAAGAGCAATGGACTCTCGCCACCCCCCACCCCCTTCCCCGGCTTTGACAAAGCCCAAATCCCCAAGTTCTCTGGGAAAAGCGCTTCCTGGCTCTAATTCCCTTAAACCTGAATACCTGTTGGGGAGAGGTGCAGCTCCTTGCCTTACCAGAGCGTGTCCTGGGGAAAAATCTGGCACCACAAAGACTTCCTGATAAACCTGGGAAATCTGCTCTGCCAAGAGTGCTTTCATTCATATGATAAGGGTCCAAAAGGAAATGAGAATGTCTCCCAAAGTTTCTGCAACTCTCTTCCTGACGGACACTGACTCAGACTTTGAAGCCCTCAGATTTCTTTGTAATGTTATCTACTGTTTGATCCTTGCTGCCCTGTATTCCTGTGTATTACAACCCAATAAAAGGCTCTGGAAGAGGGCACTCGGGGCCTTTTCTCCTTGGAGAAACTGGCCGCTGCTGGCCTTTGTCTCCCCTGAGAAACTGGCCACAGCCCACTCCTCCTCCCCAAACAGATCCAGCATGTCTCGGTCATTATTCACTCACTCGTGTCCCTGGCACTGGGGGGACTCGAGAAGTAGCTCCCCCCACACTGGGAGGGGTAGCAGGCACACACAACACGCACACGCCTCAAACAGCCAACAGTTACATGCAGAAGGTGTAATGCATGAAAAGACCCAACCAGCATGTTACTTAGGGTTCAGCTTGACAAAAGGTGTCCAAAATCTACATGAGCAAACATTTCAGGTTCCTGAAGGACACAAAATAAATTCTCCATTTGAATAAATGGAAAGACAAACCATGTTCTTGGGTAGAAGACTCAGCTTCATAAATGGGTCGATTTTCTCGAAGTCAATTGATAAATTGTATAGGATCCTGGAATGTGACAAACTGATTCTAATGCTCAGATAGAAAAATGAACAAGCAAGAACCTACAGGAAAACACTGAGAAGGAGGAAGGCATGAGGAAGGCCTGGCCTTTTAGACTGTAACTCATTCTAGAGTTTCCGTCATTGAAACGACGTCGCCGCAGGAACGGCCGAAGGGGACTGCCACCCAGAAACCAGACAGCACAGCACCTGCACAGCCGATAAAGCAAATGGGTCTCTAGGTCCCGATGTTGGGCAACTGGAGTAGCTTCTAGAGGGAAAAAAAACAAGCCGAGTTCATAGAGCAGAACATGCCCCAGGATAAACTCCCAATGTAAAATAATAAAACCCATACAAGTTTAGAGCAAAACATGGGTGAGTTCCTTTATAACCTTGGCATTGGCCAACTTTTCTGAATTGTGTGTGAAATCCAAAGGCCATAAAAGATAACAGGAATACACTTGACTCCTTGTTGAAAAAGCCATACCGGCCAGAAAGTCAAAACTGCACCTGCCGTCCACGGCCCTGAACCTCATAAGCAAGACTGAGGATCGTTGGGTGAGTAAGAGAAATGCAAATGGGACACACAGATAGCATCTCTCACCTGCCAGCCTGGCCAAGAGCCAGAGGCTGGAGGGAGAGGGACCTCACACAGCCTGGCTGGCGAGAGAGCCTGGTGGCCCCCCAGTGTCCACAAGTGACCCACCTCCACCAACGTCCCATTTGCATTTACCTTTCATCACTGCGAACCCCCGTGTGACCTTATCCTACAGATAAGTGACATTTACACAGGTCACAGAGTTGTTTGCAAGCGCAAACAATGAGAAGCCACCCTCAAGGTCTTTCCTGAAGGGACTGATTAAATGCACAATGACACCGTGACACCGCAAGGTCGGGAGGCAGGGACAATGGCTGCTTTTACTCATTGTCCAGTCGTACGTGGTCAGCACAGACCTCAGCATATACACTGTTTAGAAAAGATTTTATTTACTTTTAGAGAGAGGGAAAGGGAAGAAGAAAGAGTGGGAGAAAAGCATTCATGTGTGGTTGCCTCTCTTACATCCCCCCTACTGGGGACCTGGCCCGCAACCCAGGCATGTGCCCTGACTGGGAATCGAACTGGCGACCCTTTGGTTCACAACCCATGCTCAGCCCACTGAGCCACACCAGGCAGGGCACGGACACATTTTCTTTTAATAAGTAAACAATCCCTGAACCGCCCCCAAAAGCCCGGAGGCGTGCCGCTCCAACAGCCTTTTCTGCCTCACCATCTGAGGGTCCAAAGGAAGGTCATGTGCCTTGGACTCTGCGTATAAAAGTACCGGAGTGCTCACGGGCCCCAAGAGAGGACAGGGGACCTCCCCAGCCCCCCTAACACTGCACAGCTAGTAACTGTGGGGGGCAGGGCACGCACCCGCATACCTCCACCTCCTAGCCTCAGCCCTTCCATGCCCCCACCATGGTCACTCCAGCTCTGCCCCAGAGACCAGACTGAAGGTCAGGTTGCCTGGGGTGGACTCAGCGTCAGAAGAAGCCTTCCTGAGCTCTGGGCCACATTCAGGAAGCAGTGAGTCACCGCGAGTCTGAACTCCCACATATGTGGACACATGCACGTACACGCCAGGACCTCGTAGGGACCTCACCAGCTGGGGCGTGTGGACGAGCTTTTGGTACCAGTCACTTGCTGCGCCTGGAGTTCACGGAGGCATCTCGAAACTGGCCTGAATCATGAGTCCCGAGGTCACTCTCCTTGGAAGAAAGCGCTCAGTGTTGCCTCACTTTCTCCTTTTCTATGGTATCGAAGATAAAAAAACAGTAACTGGCGGCAAAAGAGTGCTGCTCCCGAAATCACACACGGAGCCCTGCCGGGGAGGCTGCTCTTCTTAACGGTCCTTGCTAACTGGGTACCGCCCGAGGAAGGGGCCTGGCTTCTATCCCCCATCCCAGTTCTAAGCCCCAGGTTCTTCCTCTGTAAAATAAAGAGCTTGTAAAGGACAATGTCTAAGGACCCTTCTAGAAAGACCTGCCTCATCTGGTCTCCCTGGCACTGGTTCTGCGAAGCCCATCAGAACTTCTTGGTGCCCAACCAAAGGATCGGGTGATGAGGCCAGAGAGATAACACACAGGTAAGAACGTTCTTGCTCCACCTGATACAAAAAGCTGTGATGGAAAGAAACCGGTCAAGCCCTTAGCATCACGCCCAGCACCTCGATCACTCATCCAACACATACTTAAGCACCTACTATATGCCAGGCCCCGCTCCAAGGTCTGCAAATACACACAGCAGTGAGCGCAGCAGAGTCTTTGGCTTTCTTTACATTCACAAGTAAAGAAATACGTCAGGCGGTGGAAGGGCCGCAGAGAGAGGCGCAACCGAGAGACTGGGTTGGGAGCACAGGTGTGGGCGCTCCTGTACACAGGACAGTTCGGGGTGGCCTCTCTGAAAAGCTGATGCTTGTGCAACCCACGAGGGGTATCCGGGGGAAAGTGTCCAGGGAAATGGTCAGTGCAAAGTCCCTGGGGCCACTAAGCCAGGTTGCTGGAACAGTAGGGGGCAGGGGAACGATCCAGGAGAAGGGGTCAGAGAGATCATGGAGGCCAGGCCACCGGGGCCTGCAGGGCCACCGGAAGGGCTTGCCTCTGACTGGAGAGGGCGCCACTAAGAGATTTAGAGGAGGAAGGACGATCGTGTGACATGTGCAACAGATCTCCCACACTGGCTGCGTTTGGAGGCTGGGCCACGGCGGACGTGTGGCTACATGAAGGCAGTTAGGAAGCCACGGTGATGACCCCGGGGAGAGGGAGGCAGAGGGCAGGGATGGGGATGGACCTCTCCTCCAACGGATCTCCTCCACATCTCCCCCCTCCAGTCAGCCACACCCACAGTGTGGCTCAGGTCTCTCCCCCTGTCCGTCCACCTGTCTGGGGACCCACCACCCCAGCCTCCTCTCTGGCTTGCCGACTCAGCCCCCGGCTTCCAGACTAGCCACGCTGACCTCTTTGGCGCTGCTCCAGCAGCCAGGCTCTGAGAATTCCAGGTTTCTGCAATAGTCTCTTCCCAAAACATGCCCTCCCCACCCCTGCCTCTGCCCGGGAACTTCGTAACCACAGTGCAGAAGGGCTTGCCATTTGCCAAGAACACGCCATGTGGCAGGAAACCCTGCCAGGCCTACCTTATTCGGGCCTCACATCCCCCACTATGGACCCATTTTTTAAAAAGATTTTACTTATTTATTTTTAGAGAGAGGGGAAGGGAGGGAGAAAGAGAGAAACATCAGTGTGTGGTTGCCTCTCACGGGGTCCCCACTGAGGACCTGGCCCGAAACCCAGGCGTGTGCCCTGACTGGGAATCAAACTGGCAACCTTTTGGCTCGCAGCCCGCACTCAATCCACTGAGCTACACCAGCCAGGGCTGGGACCATTTTACAAACAAACAAGACACACAGGTGCCGAGAGGAGAGGGACCTTCCAGGAGCTGTGTGGAGCACCGTGGAGGCAGCCTTTGCTCCCAGCAGCACCTGCCCGCAAGTCTCAGACCCTCCTGCTCCATGAGTGTCTCCTGACCTACGTGAGCAGGGCAGCCACCTCCAGGAAGCCCCCTGGGTTTTGGCACAGCTCTGTGCTGTGGCCCACACCCCCAGCGCTGCATGGTATCTGACCTTCCCCTGGTCTGGTCAGCGCTGCATGGTATCTGACTAGGACACTGGTCAGATACCATGCAGGGGAGGACAGCATGATAACGAGTCCAGTCCCCCCCCCCCCCGTCAGCTGTCACGTGGCAGCCCCAGGTCTCACCTCCCCCGCATCCGGCTGGATGGCCAGCACCTTAGCTCACACCTGTCGCTTCTACGTGGCTGTTTCCTAGAAAGCAGCCTCTAGAGTCAAAAGAAATGTGATGTGCGGTTTGGGGGCCGATCGCTAACTTGTTTCCAGAGAAGTTTTAGAAGTCTGGTCTCTCCACCGTCCGGGCGCGCCCACCCTCCCAGCTCTCATCCGGGAGGGACGGAGGGAGGTGGTGGAGCTGATGTCTGTGGAAAGCTTCCCGTCTGCGTGGAGCTGCGTGACGGTGCCGGTGTGCATTTCCTAAGGGCTCAGCAGGCCGGGCCTCCGGTAAGAGTCATGCTCAGGCAATGATCTGCTTAATGGTCCCAACAGCCCCCAGGCACACCGGTGCGCCAGCTGAAACGGGCCTGCCTGGGCTCGGCCTGGTCTGCCTGGGACAGCAGCGGGTCCAGGAGCCCAAATCCCACTGTGACACAGAAGTGGGGCCTGACTCCGAGTCTCAGTTTCCTCATCTATAAAATAGGAGTATCAGCCCAAGATGTCTGAGAGGGTTAAATAAGGTCAGGTAATGGCGTGCCTGGCAAGCCGCCCTCCACTCTCCTTGGAGACCTAGCAGGGAGCGCATGAAGCCCAGAGACAGCTGGAGGGTTGGGGGCCCCTCTCCGGGCTCTGTGCCTACACGGAGCCCTGTATCCAGTCAATGGCTTCTGCTCTTTCAAATCCAGCCTCTCGCGGTGGGGGAAGGTCGCTCTTCCTGCCAGCTCGCTCCCCGTCCGCCCACTCAGAGTTCACACAGGCACACATCCAGGAGGCTGGGGGCTCTGTCGGGGGTCAGCTCCTGGTGGGCAGGAGTTCGGACACCAGAGAGGGGGTGCGGGCGTGGGCCTGGACAGGTCGGGGGCTCTCCTAGTTCTGTGATGAACTCTGGGGCCCACGGGGGTCTGTCCAGGAAGAAGACAAACAGAGACAGACAGGAGAGGGAGGGACCACAGGCTCGCCTCGCTCCAGGCAGGGTGAGGTGCGTGGCACTTCCCGATGCCCATTAGAGACGGAAGGCCCCAGGGGAAGAAATCTGGAGGGCACGCCCTCAGTGCCTGGGGGAGCTGGAGCCACTGTGAGCCCAGCCCTGCCACCCAGCAGCTGCTGAACAAGGGAATCTGTCACAGGGCGAGGGTGGGGGGGTGGGGGGCAGGATAACACCTGCAACTTCCCAGGGAAGGGGGAGGGGTGGGGGGGTACTTGAAGGGAAGACTCAAGGGGACTAGGGCAGCCAAAGCACAGGGAGCAGAACCCCCCCCCCCTCTCCACCCATGCTTTTCTGCCTCCCTGTCTAGGAAAGTCAAAGCCAATTCGTAAGGTGCCCTCCCAGCCCCTCCTTCTCCACGCCTGTCCCCACCAGCTCGGGTCCTTGTAGACTGGCTGGAGCCCTCCTGTCCCCTGCACCCTCTGGGACCTCAGTGCGTGGACCTGTCCCTCTTCCTCAGCTGACTCCTCTTTTGGCTCTTTCTCATCAGCTCATAACTGTCTGCCTTATCAAAAAGCACACCCACAGAGATCAAGTAAAACAAAAATTAACACACCAGCAGCAGCCAAAATAAAAGCTAAACCCAAACCTGGGAGGTGCTGGTCGCAGAGACAAGAGGGAAGCCCCTTGTGGATGGGCCGGAACGACTGAAGAGGAACCCCTCGGAGATCCCGGCCGTTCCTAATCTTTGACCTGGTAATTTCGCGTCTAGGAAACAACAAGAAACGCACACTCACAGCCCCAGGAAGCGAGCAGGGTCCTGGTGTCGAGCCAGCCAGCTGGGACACAGCCCTTCTGGAGGCCGTGTGCAGACTACCGAGAGGCATTCAGCAACACACCAATTTATGTGTAGATTCAATGTAGCATTCTCTAAGGGCAGCAAATATTAAAAACCCTGTCAAATGGGAGCCATTAACTGAGTATGAAATGATAATATGTAAGTGTGGAAAATGTAAACAGCCCCGGCTGGAGTGGCTCAGTGGATTGAGCACCAGCCTGTGGAGGGAAAGGTCGCCTGTTTGATTCCCAGTCAGGGCACAAGCCTGGGTTGCAGGCCAGGCCCCCAGTTGGGGGTGTGTAGGAGGCAAGTGATTCATGCTTCTCACCCTCTTTTTCTCCCTCCCTTCCCCTATCTCTGAAAATAAGTAAAATCTTAACCAAAAAAAGAGAAAAATATAAATAATGTTGAGAGAGGTCATTTGAAATATATATATATATATATATATATATATATATATATATATATATATATAGCCAAGATAGTCAAATATGTAAAAATGCATTTTATTTTTATAGTTTTACTTATTTATTTTTAGAAAAAGGGGGGAAGGGAGGGAGAAAGAGAGGGAGAAAAACATCAGTGTGTGGTTGCCTCTCACTCATCCCTCACTGGAGACCCGGCTGGCAGCCCAGGCATGTGCCCTGACTGGGAATCAAACTAGTGACCCTTTGGGAGCTCAATCCACTGAGCCACACCAGCCAGGGCTAAAAAATGCATTTTAAAATGCCAAGCAAAGAGGGCAAACATTAACGATGGTTATCTCGTAAATATAGGGTTTCCGCCCCGCTTTCTTCAGTTAATCCCTTCAGGTGACATTCAAGGGGAAGGATCGCCCTCCCCACCCCCACCAGGGGGACAACAGTGCGACAGGAGGAGGAAGTGCGTTCCAGAGAGCACAGCAGGGCAGAGTTGAGTGGCCATCCACCCTACCCTCGGGAAAAAGAACCGGGAGGGCAGTCCCTTCGGGGAGGGGGAGCCTGGGGGGGGCTGTTTCCCCGGGTGAAGCTTCCCTTTCTCAGCAGCCCCCTTCCCCCAACCCCCGCCCCAGGGGGCGTCTTGCCAAAAAACGCCCCCGGCAGCCACCTCCTTGCCCTAGGCCGTGCTCCCATGTCAGACTTTGGGGGGCCTGCACCCCCGCTGCATCCCGGGCTCCCACGCGGGGAGGATGGGTTTGCGAGCCGCTGGCCGGGACTAGGGCGGCGGGTCACCACTTCAGACGCTGCCCGCCCTGCCCCACCGGCGGCCGGGCCCATCGCACACACGGGGCGCAGCCCCACTACCCCAGGCAGCTGGAGGACTTTGGTCGGGTACCAGGAAACGAACACATTTTAAGAATTTCCATTTTGAAGTTTGTCCTTTAATCCGGGGCTGTCCTGGCGGACAAGCAGGGACAGGCGCCCCAGGCTTAGGAAGAAGATGAACGGCGGAGAGGACTCCACCCAGACCCTCCCTTTCTTTCTGCTGGTGTTTGGGCCTGACCTGGGAACCCCCGCGGCGCGGACTGGGCCGTGGGGACTCGGGGCGCAGGCCGCGCCAGGGCGGGTCGCGAGCGACGGGATACCCGGCTTTTGGTGACTCCCAGGGGCCGGTGTGGGGCCGTCACTCGGTATCTCCGGGAGACAACGGTGGGGGGGCGTCCTCCCGGGGGAGGGTGGGCTCAAGGGAGCGGCCTTTTTAAACCCCTCAGAGCCAGAGGCTCAGCCGAGAGCGGCCAGCCGGGCGGGGAACCTTCGCCCCGGGCAGGGAGGAGGGGTGGGCTCTGAGGCTGGACGTCCCGCCGCGCAGCCCGGCTCCCAGCTCACTCGGCGTCCCGGCTGGAGCCGCGGGAGGGAGGGGAGCGCGCCGGAAGGGGGGTCGCCAGCGGATCTGGGTCCTGGGAGGGAGCGCCCAGCCGGACTTTCTGACTTCCCGGCTCGCCCCAGGCCGTCCCGCCACCTGGAGGGCCCTCCCCTCCTCCGCGAGTCCAAAGCCTCAGCATCCCCTGCCCCAGGCGGCGCCCCCTCCAGCCGGAGGCGCTGCGCTGCTCTTCCCCACCTGCACACACTCCTGCGCCGGGGGCGAGCCCCGCGGGGCGCCCGGGACCCCGGGACGTTCTGCGCCCCCAGACAGCGCGGCACGACCCACGCTGGGGCCCGGGCTTCTCGCCCCCGCGCCCCCCACTCCCACCGCGAACCCGGCTCGGGCGGTCGGAGAAGAAGGGGCGCGCCTCCGAAGTAGGGCCGGGGCTCCCGCACCAGCTGCCGGGCTCAACTGCGGGGCGCAGGGACGCTGAGGCGGCAGCCGGGCACCGCCGCGCCCGGTCGCTGCGCACTCAAAAGTCCCTCTGGAACAGGTGGCCCGGAAGGCGGCCGGGCCCTCCCCGTTCCTTCTCGAAGCGCCCCTCCCCACCCGGCCGGGGCGCACCCAGGCCCGCGCCGTAACCCCAGCCCGTGCACCCGCCGCGCGGCCGCCTACCTCCGGATCCCGCAGCGTCCGGCACTACCCCGGAGCTGGCCGGCGGGAGCACCGCCCCTCCGCCGGCGCGGTCAGCACCGCCCCTTCCAGCCCCGCCCGCCACCCCTGCTGGGTTCCCGCTCCCCGGGTCCTCACGCTCCCGAGCCCGCCGGGGGTGGGACCGTGCCCAGACAGTGAGCAGGTGGGTAGGGAGCGCTCCTGTGCCTCCCTGCCGCCTGCCCCGGGGCGCATAGTCCCATTTCCCCATTTAACAGACGAGAAAACTGAGGCTCAGAGTGGTTGTCAGTATTTGAACCCTGGCCTGCCTGATGCCACCGCCTAGAATACATCCATCAACCCCCCTCCAGCACCCCAACTGCGACCCGCGCTAAACGCTTTGCCGGCACCATCTCTTCGTTGTGGTCACAGCTTCCCAGGGTCCTGCTCGCTACCGGGCCTGTCCGCTCACCTCCCCCCGAGGCCACTGCACCTCGCTCTGCCATCCTGCCCACCCCCTTGCTCCGCTGACGGCCGGTGCCCAGGCCCCCGAGAGACTAGGCACGCTCCGTCCCAGCCGCGGGGACAGTGTGGCACTCAGAGGTGCCCCACCGCCCTTCCAATGAACGCCTGAGAAGCAAGGTCCCACCAGGACCTCCTCTGGCCCTCAAGACGCCCGCCCCTCGAGCCAACACCCACCCAGCACCTCTCTCCTCTGC